CTTTTCTAACCATTTAAGATAGTTGATCCAGTGAATTGAATAGTGTAAATTAGTTTTCCTAGCTTGTCTGTGTTGCTAGCTTCTTTGCACAAGAAATTTAAATATATTGATTTTGTTGATTCAATTTCACCTGTTTGCCAGATACGAGTTCATCTCCAGTATGCTGGTCACCCAATTGCCAATGACATGCTCTATCTTGGTAAATCAGTTGGTCGGCGTTCTACTGAGGGGAAAAGTGCTGATAGAGTAGCTGCCCAATTGAGGGATTCTATATCATCCAAAACTTCTGAAAACAATGACCAGCCAGAAGAAGAATTTTTCACAGATTTTGATAGGGATCCTTTGTGTACACATTGCCCAAATTTGGCCCCTACAGGGTAAGAATTGTTCTTGTCAATAGTTTTTAGGATAAGTTTACCTCTGAAGTATGCTGCTAAGAGGAAAGCACAAGGGAAATTGTTTATTGGTATTTATGTGCATAGTAAGTGCTGCTGAGCATCTAAACTAGATATTATGTAAATAGATTTTTGCTGCATGAGAGTGGTTGGGGGCTGGGGGATGTTGTCAATATATTGCATGAGAACCTGAGTACTTTCGCATAGGACCACAAAGCCGCTTATGTGTTTCCTTAATTTAGACCAACCTCCACAAGGAGAACTATCAACTAGACCTCCGCAACCTAGTTGCTTCCTAATGAAAGAGTTCAATTCGTTTCCTTATTAAATGCCTTTTTTATGTTGCTTTAAGTATGCTATTTGTATACGTGTCCGTACTTAAGTACAGGCTTTCCTCTGCTGCAGGTTTTTTTAAAAAAAAATTAATTATTAAATTTAATATATACTACTGTACTCTTTTATTTTGATGTTATTTTCTGGTATTTTACTTTGCTGATAATGCTGTGTTCCTTTCACTTAAGGTACGACGGGCTTGAAGAGGGATTATGGCTTCACTGCATAAGGTACACTGGACCTGATTGGACATATGAGTGCCCATATCCAGATTGGGCAAAACTTGATTGATACTGAGTGGTCCATGTCTACTTACCTACTTATTTAGTAAATTGCTCGTATTTTTGAGAAGTTGAAGCTGGCAATTTCCTACGAACTAGTCAAGTTCAGAGCAGTTGACTTTTGAATTGTTCTGCTCTGCCCTGTAGATTCCGACCAATTTTATATGTTGATATTCAACTATTGCTTCATTGATGTTTATTTTTCCAGTTTTTACTGTATGGAGAACTATTGGTTGAGTGTTTTACTCTGTTCAGCGTAACAGAATATATATTTTTCTTTCTTACATTGCCAAATCGCGTGCCAACTTAAATCTCATCAGGCAAGCACAAGTGTAAGCTTTAAGCTTTGCGCTTGACACACAGTGAATATTCTTTTTGGCATGATTCCAATTACAGGTTGAAATGACGATGAACATTTCTGCAAATCTAATCAGGACATCAGGTATCTCTGTTAGGTAATTGATCTGCATATTTAGTTCTCTATATAGCTGGAAGATATTAATGTCTCAGCAGCAACAAACCTGAAGCAGTAAAGATTCGACTCAGGTTAAAACCACCAGGAAGTTAACTTATACTTAACTTTTCCCAAAATTATACCATCTTTTGTTGCTTACATTAATAGAACATCTAACTGATTGCAATCGCAACTTTTGCAAGGTTGCAATCAATTCCAATGATATATAATGAAACCATAATCCACGTTTCTAAGTATGTTGCTATCAAAAAGAAATGTGATAACTTATTTAAGATAATTGTCTATTGACTATTGCGCAATTTAATTATTTTACTGTCTTTTGACGAGTAGATGGAGCACTTGTAAGTTGTAACCAATAAATCAAATGTGTAGTTGATGATTATTTTTTTTATTTTTTTTTACACTGTACAAATTCTATAAAAAAATCTTTCTTAATCTATGAAATCATGACTCAAACTATACTGAACTACATATAATCTTTCTTAATAAAAAGTTTACATTAAAAAACTTGATTACACTTGGCTAATCTTATAGGGCCCCTTATGTTATTCTGTCCTTAGGCCCCCAAAATCTCAAAAATTGTCTTATTTATACCTCCTTAAATAGTTATTTATTGGCAAATGTGAAACAAAAGCAAACTCAAATGTCATCTATGCTAATGATGCAAGTGATACTGAGTTCTTATATCTAAATTTAAGGAGGTATCACTAAAACAGTAAAACATCATTAAGTACATCAAGGATCGTAGAATAAAATGAAAGCATGTTAAATATCGCCAAGCCTCTTCAAGTCAAACAAGCTCCTGACTTAAACCAAGCTAGGCTAGCCGGCATCTCTATTCATCATACTAGGGGAGGGGTGTTTAAAATACCCGATCCGAAAATTTGATGATCTGATCCGAAATTTTGGATATCCGACCCGATTTTAGCAGTTTGGATATTTCGGATTAGATTTCCGAAAAAAAATTCGGGTTTCGAATCGGATACGAATTGGAATTTTCCTGAAAATTTCAACGACTCGAAAACCTAGTGATTAGATCCAAAATTTTCGATTATCCTGATTTTCGGATCGAATTGGATCCAATATCCGAAATTGAACAAATTACATCATACAACGTGAATCTAATCGATATGCAGAGAACCTCCGCTGTTAATGCCTATTCACGACTTCCAATAGTTAACAAAGCAGATGACATAAGTATCTCCTATAAGGTGATAGAGTATGTGAGAAGTTGATGATATTCTCATTATGTTTAACATGTATTTATACACCTAAGAAGCAGTGGCGGACTTGGGCTTAGACCTGGTGGGTCAAGTGACTCAGCAGGCCCAAAAAAAAATTTTAAGTTATTTAAAAAAAAAAAAAAAAAAAAAAAAAAAAAAAAAATCAGTTTCAAGCCCTAGCCTCTTCGTGCTCTTCGTGACTTCGCCTTCTCCGCCTAATCGCCTCCATTCTTCTCTTCGTGACTTTGCCTTCTCCGCCTAATCGCCTCCATTCTTAATCGCCTCATCTCCATTCTTCTCTTCGTGACTTCGCGTGACTTCGCCTCTTCGCTCATCTCCATTCTTCTCTTCGTGAATTCGCCTCTTCGCTTCGTCCCAGCCAGGCAGTCAGGCAGCCACCGTTCTCTTCGCCTAATCGCCTGGTAGTCGGACGTCGGTGAGCGGTGACTCGGTGGTCGTGACTCGTGGACTCCGTCTTCTTCGTGAAATCGCTACTCGAAAGTCGAAACGTCGGTGCTAGTAAGTTGATTTCTAATTTTTATTTTTAATTTCTAATCTTCAAATTAATTCAGTCTAATTTGTTAATTTTATTAAACTTTGGTTTAAACTTTGGTTGATTTGTTAATTTGTAGTTGGTTGTGCTGCTGAATTGGCGAATTGCTGTCTTGCTGAGTGCGTGCCTCGGTGCCTGAGACTTGAGTGCTGCCGACTGCCGTGCTGCGGTGCTGGCCGACTGCCCGTGGCCCTATTGCAGTGCTGCTCCGCCTGCTCCGCTGCTCGCCTCCGCCTAGCAAGGTAGGTAATCAACTAATCATCAATTGATTTTTTTTGTGAAATCTGTTTTGTGTAATTGTGTTTTGTGTAATTGTGTTTTGTGTAATTGAAATCTCTTGAACTTATTAGTTATTACTTATGTAAAATCTGTTTTGTGTAATTGTGTTTTGTGTAATTGTGTTTTGTGTAATTGAAATCTCTTGAACTTATTAGTTATTACTTATGTGAAATCTGTTTTGTGTAATTGTGTTTTGTGTAATATGTTTATGTGATTATGTCATTATGTGAAATTGCTTGATTTAGACCATTTAGTTGAATATTTATTCAAATAATTTTTCTGGGGAATATTGCTTGATTTAGTTCAATATTTATTCAAATTTCAGAATAAAGAGAAAACATACTCCAAATGAAATGCAAAACATTACTAGCTTCTTTGCTAAAAAGAATCCTACTCCAACTTCTCTTCCACATCCAACACAAAATGAACAAACTATAACTCCACCTCAAGAAAGTGAGCAACTTTCATCTCCATCTCATTATTCAACTCAAAATTCCCCTCAAAATGAACAAGGCCAATGTTCTCCTAATGCCCCAATCTTTGGAGAAAGATTAAGTGAACATGAATTTGCTAATCTTCCACAAGATCCAGGAAAGAGGAGAAAAATGAGTCAATTTCATAAAGATGATAGAGATTTAGGAGAAGAATTTACATTCAAAGAAAGCCTTGTCAGCCCAAAGACTTTACATTTCCTCAAACTTCTATTTTTGGCAAAAATCGTCGCTTTTGTGCTAAGTGGTTTGATACTTGGACTTGGCTTGAGTATAGTGTGGAAAAGGATGCTGCCTATTGTTTCCCTTGTTATCTATTCAAGGATGAAAATGCCTTTGGAGGTGATGCTTTTGTTAGTGATGGTTTCAAATCATGGAATCGATCGGATTTAATAAGAAAACATGTCGGTAAACACTTGAGTGCACATAATAATGCTGTTTTAGCTATGGATTTGTTCAAGAAACAAAATTCAAGCATCACACAAGCCTTAACAAAACAAACCGCTGAGAGTACAAATGCATATAGGACGCGACTTGAAGCTTCAATTGAATCTATCCAATGGCTTTTACTCCAAGGGTTGCCTTTCCGTGGTCATGATGAAAAAGAAAGTTCCTTAAGAAGAGGTAACTTTCTTTCACTTTTATCCCTTATTTCCAAAGGTAATCCTGAATATTCTAAAGTTGTTTTCAAAAATGCTCCTAGTAATTGTCAACTTACTTCTCCTAAAGTCCAAAAAGATATCATAAATGCATGTGAAAAAGAGACCACTAAAGCAATGCTTGAAGATATTGATGGTGGTTTATTTTCTATCCTTGCTGATGAGTCCGCTGATGTTTCTGACAAGGAACAATTGGCTCTTGTTTGAGATATGTTAATAGAAAGGGAGAAGTGTGTGAGCGTTTACTTGGTATTGTGCATGTTGTAAACACTGCTTCTTTGACTCTCAAAACTGCTATTGAATCCTTATTAATGGAGCATTCTTTGTCTTTCTCTCAAGTACGGGGTCAGGGTTATGATGGGGCAAGTAATATGCAAGGTTCTATTAATGGCCTTAGGACTCTTATAGAGAATGAGTGTAAAGAAGCTTATTTTGTCCACTGCTTTGCTCACCAACTTCAATTAACCTTGCTAAAAAGAATTCAGATTGTGCTTGGTTATTTGTTGATGTACTTGCACCTCTCTTGAATTTTGTGGGGGGTTCACCAAAAAGGAAAGAGTTTCTTCGTGAAAATCAAGCTCAAAGAGTGGTGGATGCATTGTCTCTAGGTGAACTTGAAACGGGTTCAGGTTTAAATCAAGAACGTGGATTAGGTAGACCTTGTGATACTCGTTGGGGATCTCACTTCAAGACAATCTTGAATGTACTTGATTTATTCCCTGTAATCCTTGGTTCTCTTGAGGATATTGCAAAAGTATCTGATACAATAGATTCTAATAGAGCTCAAACACTTACAAATCTTCTGATGTCCTTTGATTTTTTGTTCGTGGCACACTTGATGGTTAGTATATTTGCGATAACAAATGCTTTGAATGTGGCCTTACAAAAGCACGATCAAGACATTGTGAATGCAATGGCCATGGTTAATGTAACCAAGACTAATTTGCAAAAAATGAGAGATGAAGGATGGGATTCTCATATGGAAAAGGTAATTTCTTTTATTGGTGACTATGACATTGCAGTTCCAGATATGGAGGCTAAATATGTTGTTCCCGGGAGGAGGTTGTTTAGAGGTAAATGCCCACAAGTGTCTAATCTACATCATTTTCGAGTTGAAGTGTTTTTTGGTGTCATTGATCTTCAATTGCAAGAACTTGAAAATCGATTTCCCGAAATAACTAAAGAACTACTTGTGTGTATGTCTTGTTTGAGTCCTGTGGATCGTTTTTCTAAGTTTGATAAGGAAAAATTGATTAAGCTTGCAAAATTCTATCCTAATGAATTTCCAAGTTCAGAATTGATAGTCTTTGGTCATACACTTGATAGTTACATTTGTTCTGTTAGAGGAGATGAAAGGTTTTGGAATTTGAAGGGTCTTAGTGATCTTTCAATCAAATTGGTTGAAACGGGATTGTCTGAAACTCATGATAGGGTCTATTTACTTTTGAAGTTGGTGTTGCTTCTTCCTGTCGCAACGGCAAGTGTGGAAAGAGTATTTTCTGGCATGAAGCAAGTGAAAGACAAACTACGAAATAGCATGGGAGATCAAATGTTGAATGATTGTTTAATTACTTATTTGGAGAATGATTTGTTTTTGAATGTTAGCATGGAAGATATCATGAATCGATATCAAAACATGAAAACTCGTCGAGAACTATTTTAATAAGTTTGCATTACTATTTAGTTGTCTTTTGTAGTATTATATGAACATTTGGTTGTATTTTGTACTGTTTGAATATTTGGATGTATTTTTTAGTACTATTATTTGGTTGTTTGGTAAAATTTTTTTTTTACATATTTGATTATCGATTGTGACTCATCAGTCGGAAAATCCTGGGTCCGCCACTGCTAAGAAGTACTGTAATCTAGGTTAACATAAGATAATAGCAAACTAAGAAGATATACATATAAGCTGTTAAATGAGATAGATATTAGTGAATATTCACAAATGATAATTAAGAGAAGATTCTACTCTAACTACTTTTGACTTGGTCATCGTTATCATCTCCAACTGTCTTCGCAAAAAGACCAGCGTACCCCTTTGAGATACTTGGCTATAGCAAATCAATATGAACAACTTGTATTTTCTCCAATGCTAAACCATCCCTAGCTTTTTTATCTTACTTTTATTGAAGAAATCCTTTCTGTTTAGGGAAGTTTCCCATCAAATTCATTAACACTGTAGGCAAGCCACGACCCAATTGCAAGTAACAATGAGTATTAATCGGAGTTGATAGCAAAACACTAAATGTATATGCAAACAAATTTTCGTTTAATACTTAGGTTTTGAGACCATTTATCAAATCTTTCAAATTGTTAGCCCCACGGTTATCTTGGTCTCGAACTTTAAAGATACTTGAATTATACTATTAAGACATTACCTTAATTGCATTTTTAAGTGTCAAACAAGTATTAAGCGTAACTTTAATGCCAAGATAACCCATTATTTTGTACTAAGAGAGAATGATAAAAAATGTTTGGAATATAAGATGTTTTTTTAACTGTGACTAATGGAATCACATAATAAATTCACAAGAGGCTATTTATAGTTTAGAATGTTAAAGTTGCACTTGACCACCCATATATGCTCATAATAAGAAATTAGTTAAAGTAATGTGCTCTCTTGTTAACACACGTATGTAATACCAATCCGATCTTCATATCAACTAAATCCAATTTTCTCACATTAAAATCCACATTAGAGTTATTGTTGACTAATATACGAAAATAACATGCTACGGAGTATTTAGATTGTAACTATTTCCAATTTGGAAATACACCCCCAAATAATTGTATTTGTTGTGATTATTTCGATAATTCCTTTCAATTAAGGGAGATTGTTTACTAAACTTATTGAAATGATTATGTTAATATGATTATTATTTCCATAATTCCTTTCAACTAAGGGAGTTTGTTTACTAAACTTATAATTGTGATTAATGTGATTATTATTTCCATAATTCCACCAAAGTACGCAAAACGCAACACATAAAATCAGTTTCTTCTTCTTCTCTCTCTCACAGAAACATTCTTGGAGAATTTCTAACCTTGTTCCCTCCGCTCAACTTCTACTGTTACTCACACCAACTTCAATTCAGTTAATCTTGTTTCTTCCCCACAATTTTCCCACATTTAATTGATTAAATTTGATATAAAAGACCTCAAATTTGTTGTAATTTTAAGGCCATGAAACGTGGGTATCAAGGTTCTCCATCTGGTCCTCCTCAATCTCGATCCAAACCCAACCCAGAAGGTATTTTTCTTGTATTTCTGTCACAAATTTATAATCTTGTTTATTTGATGAATTAATTTAGGTTTCTGTAATATTTTCATTGATTTTTATTTTCTTAGTTTACAATTGATTGAATGTTTTCTTAGCTGTACTTCAGTTAAGAAAGTGTTGAGAATAGCATACTAGAAGTTGTGTAAATTAGAATTGTAATATACGAAGTATTTGTTTTCAGGTTCGCTTATTAGTGGCAATTTTTATCTTAAAATCGGTGTAATTTTCAGGTCATCATTAAAATGGTGGATATTGTAATTGTAGTTCTTTGTTTCAAAAGAAAGATATGTCTTTTGCTGGTAAATTCAATCCTACACTCGGGTGTAATTTAATACCCTCGTGTGGGTGTTTAACTGGTTAAAGTCTTGGGGTTGGTAGGCAGGAATCAAATCTCGTCTACATCATTTTCCCTTTATAGCTCTCTCTACACCATAAAAAAACTGGTTGGGAGGGTGTAATTATATTTAGAGTAAGGCTTTGTATTTTGGATCATTGAATAATATATTGTTAATGGTAATTTAGGAGATGGGGTATTCCTTGAGGATGAGAGTACAAAAATTTTTGCTCGGAAAGTAGCTGATCATTACAGTGCAAGAACAAACCAGACATTGGAAGAACGAGAAGCGAGCCCTATTATCCATTTGAAGAAACTTAACAATTGGGTATACTTTGTGAATTTTATATGAGATTTTCTTTAGGATTTTTTAATGGAAATTCCTCACATTTGTTTTGCTTTTGCAGATTAAAAGTGTATTAATTCAGCTTTATGCTCGTCCTGGGAATGCTGTTCTTGATCTTGCATGTGGAAAGGTGAATTAGGTTTTATCTGGTTAGTAGTTGTAGTTTGATGATGTGTTTGTTCAACAATGTACTAATTGTTTCTCTACCTCACCATGTGTTAGGGTGGGGATCTTATAAAATGGGACAAGGCAAAGATCGGATATTATGTTGGAATTGATATTGCTGAAGGCTCGGTATGGCATAAAATCTTAGTAATTAGTAGCTCATTTGTTTTATTGCTGCTTCAGTGATATAAGTTTCTGTGACAAATTAGTCAGACAGTTACGCTATAGATCTTTTTCACTGTATTGCAGTCTAATTTAAAATTAGAGACTGTGCAGATAGAAGATTGTCGTACGCGGTATAATGGCGATGCGGATCAGAATCAGCGTCGCAAAAAGTTTAAATTCCCAGCCCGCCTCTTATGTGGAGATTGCTTTGAGGTATTTGAGACTGGATATCAGTTAATTGTGAAGATTTGTTACTAAGTTATAAATTTGAATAATAATGCACCTTTTAACCGCTAATAATATCATTAACTACTGAGTTTTTGGGACATAATACTTGTTATGATTCTCAGTATTTTCTGATTATTTCAGGTTCGACTGGACAGAGCATTGGCAGAGGATGGCCCCTTTGACCTTTGCAGTTGCCAGGTTACTTTTTATCCTACCTTGTCAAATTTAGACTCCATAAGCCCTAGAGGTTCTTTGTTAATTACATAAGTTAGCCTAACATCATTGAATGGACCTGCTAGGCGAGGTTACCTTTTATATTTTAATAAACAATAAAATTTTCAACTGTGTGGGGACTTTGGACCTAGTCTCATCTTCTTTAGGGGTGAAAACGTTGACAGTGAATACAATTTCTCTGATCTTAGATTTAGAGGCTGGTCCTTGTTTCTCTCATAAATTTTGATTATTTTGGAGTGTACAATCCTTTTGTATTGGTAAATTGAATAGTTGTTTTTTTTCCCAACTCTTTGATATTTGCAGTTTGCCTTGCACTATTCATGGTCTACTGAGGCACGTGCACGGCGAGCTTTGGCTAACATTTCAGCATTGCTTCGACCTGGTGGCATCTTGATTGGAACAATGCCTGATGCCAATGTTATTGTCAAGAAGTACAGAGAAGGTTTCTTCTATTATTTTATAAAAGCTGTTGTTTGTGACTTTTTGTACAATGTACATGAGATGTAGTGAAAGTCCAAGTAGATGTACTGTTTTTCAAACTTTTGGCATTTTTCACACTGAATATTGTATACAAAGATATCCTTCATTCCCATATAAGATAATACTATACAGTGATTTTTAGCTTCTCTCACGCTGAATATCGTACTCAAAGAAGCTCCTTGTGCCCTTTAATTATGGTCTAAAACCCATAAACCTTCAATTCACATAATTCTCGCTTTGCCTTAACATATAATTGTATATGCTAACACGGACTAGCTAGTAGACTGATTCTGATCATGGTACTATTGTTTTGAAAGAAGTTGATGGTATGATTAAGCATTTTTGCTTGCTGATGATGAGGTTATCTTTCCTTTTCTTCCTTTTTTAAATAATTGCTCTAATTAGTTTTTATCTAATTGACAAAATTATTGGTAGTGGAAGTTCATGAGAACTAGAAAACTATAGAGTTGTTTAGTTGACAAAATTATAAGAAGTTCTACTCCCCACAAAATGGAGTATGTTTCTTACTTAGTCCTCCTTGTTTCACTTCCTATGATCATTTAAACATATTTTCTTAAAAAATCTTTTAGGAAATGGAACATGGGAAGAAATACACTTCCTATTTTTAATCAATCAACCACAAAGTAATTTTACATAGGTAGCCAAATTGATGGTAATTACCGACTAGAAAATATCTTCTCCTCACTCAAACTCTATGTAAGTTGCATGCTTTTAATCCATCTTCACCTGGCTGTTAGTGTCTTTCCTTTGTTCCCTCACATCCTAACAGAACACTTATAGGTTTCAAGTCTACACAGTTTTGAGTGTTGGTATGAATAATCTAATTACTGTCATCGAATTTCTGAACATTCTTGTTGAGGTCTTTATCTTTATGATTGACAGACTTAGTTGAATAGGGTGATAGTAGCTACTCTCTCTTAGGATCTATGCTTGATATTGTGACGTCTTTGCATTTCTCAAATTCAGCAATTTTCACTAGGTCACGATACATCTAGGTTTTAACAATCTATCATATATATGATATATCTTAAACTGGTTTTTACTATTTTACCATATCTAAAGCCCTCCTTTATGCCATTTTGTTGGAAAGTCTTGTGCCGAAATGGAAGCAAATTTTAATGTAACTTGTAATTTTTAAAGGTTTGCCTGTGTGATTAATTGATTGGAAACTCTAAAGAATAATAGTGCACACCTGCAAGAAGGGTTGCAGAGTTGTATTATCTTAGGATGATTAGACTTTGCTTAAATTAATCCTAATCCCTCTTGAATAACATGCAGCGGAAGGTTTGAAATTTGGAAACAGTGTCTACTGGATACGATTTGATGAGGATTATGCTGATAAGGTACTGTATCTTGTTTTAATATTAACATCCATCTGTTTTATTTTTTTGGTTGCTGAAAATTGCTCCTTCCCATGACTAATTACTGTTTTTGGCTTCAGAAATTTAAATCATCCAATCCTTTTGGTATCCGATACAAGTTTCACTTAGAGGTATGTGTTTGTCAAAGTTTTTCTTTTATCATTGCTTATGTAATTTGTTCAGACAATTGACCATAAAATATCTATCAAAATTATTAGGAAAATTTGAAAATTGCAGCCATTTAAAGTTTCTATTTTGCAATTTGCAGCCATTTTAAAAAAAAATTAAAATTGCAAATTGCAGCCCAAAAGTACTAATAAATTGTATATTGCCACCCAATCCAATTTTTTCATCAATTTGCGTGCCGAAAAAATCCCATTAAGGTTTTAGGGGCCATTTTAGTTCTTAAGGTCCCAAATTGAGCTCGAAATTGGCAAAAAATTAACGTAAGTGCCTCGTTTTACAGCAAAAAGTTGTTGCACACAAATCAATACAGTTTTTGATAAGCAAAACGAGCCTCCTATGTTATTTTTTTGCCAATTTCGAGCTCAATTCGGACTCTAAAGGGCTAAAACGACCCCTAAAACCTTTACGGAACATTGTTCAGCACGCAAATCGATGAAATAATTGATTTGGGTGGCAATTAACAAGTTATTAGTACTTTTGGGCTGCAATTTGCAATTTTTTTTTTAAATGGCTGCAATTTGCAAAATACAAACTTTAAATGGCTGTAATTGGCAAATTTTCCAAATTTATTATGCATTTAGTTCACCATTTCTTAATTAATACTATCCACCAGTGATAGGTGGCATCTATCTGACCAAAATTAGTGCATTTTACATGACTGCCTGCTGCAAGTATCCATCCTTTTAGTGTTTGTTGGGAATCCTGTCTTTGACCTAACAACTTTTATTGGTCATTTCTTATAATCTATCCACATATCCCCATATAGAAGTGGGGTAATCGTTTATACAATACTTTGTAAGTCAAGAATTAAAAGTGCTTTTTTCAGATTTGGGTTTTGACTTTCGAGGATTCGTTGCAACCATAATTACTCTTTTCTTTTCTTAGCATTGTGTCTTATCAATGCCTAATTTCTCTTTATAGGATGCTGTTGATTGTCCTGAATGGGTTGTCCCTTTCCATGTCTTCAAGGCACTGGCTGAAGAGGTATGGATTACTTTCTGGCATTCTTCGATCAGCATATTATTTGTGTCTCCTAGCCATCATTTCAGGTTCAGAAAAGTGCAGAAATGTTAGGCTAATAGAAAGCAATTTACAGTCTATTATGGGGTATATTTGCTTACTAACCTCTCATATTGATAAAACAAAGGTTTAAAAAATATGTTGTTACTTGTAGAAAGAAAACTTATTAGCATGGAGTATAAGCTCGAAATAGGTAGTAAACACATGGAGGGGAAATGTTATTCGTTTACTCTCATGTCATTGATGCTAATGCCTTAAACCTTTTTACAATGTCAATTTATCTGAACTAGAACGTAGCCGTGCTAAAGCATGGAGTATATATATTTCTTGAGATGAAAAATAATTTCTGAATAACCATAACTGGTAGTTATGGGTAGTTTTAAAAAAAAAAGTAATTGGTGTTGTTTTTTATTTTAAAATATATAGAAGTTGAAGTTATGATATTTTTTTTCAAAAAAAAAAAAAAAAAACCAAAAAGAAAAAAGAGTATGAAGTTATTAAAAAAAAAAAAATAAGAAAAGAAATGAATGCATAGATTTTGAGGATTGGAGTTTTGTAGTGTTGTGGATAAAAGTTGGGGAAAAAACTCTAAAATTTTATAATAGATATGAAAATCTTTTCTAAACATCAATGATGCTCCGTGATATTGATGATCTCAATTTTACTCCTTTATTTTACGCGTGAAAGCTTCCTTCATGGATGCTGTCTTTTTATATGGCATTTAACATTTGAGTCACCATGACTGCAGTTAATTTAGTTTGATCGCCTTCTTTATGTCCCAACTCCTGTTTGCAACATTTCAATTTCCATGCAACCTGCATTTACAAATCTTATGTTTTAATTTGCCATTAACCTCTAGGAATGCTATTAATGATAACTTTTATGATTCATTAACCTCTATGAATGTTGTTAATGGGATCCAATGAGAAGATTCTTAAAATGAGAAGAATGAGAAGGATGAAATGTGCAAAAGTTTTCACTAAATGTGCATATTTTTTTTCACTAAATGTGCAAAATTGATTTTGTGAACTAATAAAATTTTTGAATTTTCTGGAAAATTAGAAAATATGTACATTATATTCAAAATTTCTGCACATCGAATTTGGGTCTTTTTTTTTTTTTTTTTTTTGCACATTTAGTTAAAAAAATATGCACATTCAGTACAAAATTATGCTCATAAAATCCTTCTCATCTTTCTCATTTTTAGGAATTTCTCATTTGACCCTAAATATAGTTAAAAAATGTTTAACTATCTAATATATTCAGTACAAAAAGACGTTTGATCTATCTAATATATTTGAAGAAATGTCTAATATTCAGTACAAAAAGATGTTTGATCTATCTAATATTTTTTTGAAATATTACACATTTATAGTTAAAAAGTATTAATAGTCAAATTCATGCGTCAGCCAACATGCAAGTCAAAATATGCTGCATGAATTTGACTACTAATACATTTTAACTATATGTTTGTAAACATTATAAATGTGTAATATTTGAAAAATATATTAGATGGATCAAACATCTTATATACTAAAATTTACTTTCCTATTTTAACAAAAATTGGTGCTAAAAGTCAAAATTTGGAACGGATGGAACAATTCTAAGTCAATTAGTACTACGAGTTAAAATAAGTGTTCGAAATACATATTTATTTGCCAAAAGCACCCATGTATCAAGTAATTATAATTGGAGAACTTATCCTAATACAAACTAAAATAAAAAGAAAGAAACTAATGTGCACTCATGTACCTTCTCTCACAATTAATTAAGTTAATACAATGTCCACAATTCAAAAATAAAGCATATTAACAAGTAAAGGGAAAAACCAAAGAGGAGAAGGAAGAATGCTCGAGAAACCTTAGAAATGCATTTGGGTGCTAATATTTGCAAAAAGTTGTAGTTATGGAGGCTAATTTCTCCTGGATCTCCTTTTACTCGTTTTTTATCCCATCGATTGAAGTTTTAAGATTTGTGATAGATTTCTCTATTGAAGTAGAAGATAAACTAGTATCCTCGGAGCCATGAGATGGAATGGATGGTTCGGGGAGCAAGGACTTGGACCCTTGTTGACAAACAATGAATAGACTACTTATTGTTATTTTTTAAGGACATTTTCTCAACAATGGTGATATATCCTTATCCCCTTGGTACACTTAAGGGCAGTGTCATCTTTCTTTGAAAACCAGCACGTGGGAAGACTGGGAACATCTATAACATCAAATCCCCAACCAAACTATCCATCTTATATTTTTCTACATAACCTGAAAAAAGTGCAGTTAATGTTTTTGTTGGCTATTTGAATGAGGCACCCGTATCGATTGAATCATGTGTTGGAGCATATATAGTTCAACCTTGTGGACCTTGCTCCTTTCTTGTCAATTATATATGGTGTTGGAAAATAGCCTGAGAAAATAGCGTAAGTCTTGGCGGAGAATAGAGATAATTGGACTCCACTTCAGCTCATATGTATATTTATTAGTGAGAGTCCTCAAAAGATCATCTGCATCCCAATGTGTTTGGCTCTTGAACAACCAATGGGTAGAACAAGAGTCGCATCAAGCTTGGCCAGAGTCCAAGCATGGTTATCATTAAATAGCCGAAAAACGGTGCACTAAACTTGGATATTGGCCGAGCTTAATGAGGCTTTTCGTTTACCCACTGGTAGTTCGAGAGTGACCACACATGTTGTTATGGCGGGTGATCTTTAGAAGATTCTCACTAATGAATGTACTTGACTCGAAAGGGAGTTCAGTTACCTCTATTTTCTAACCCACCTTATGTGATGTTATCAAGGTATTCTTTAGCACCATACCTGGTGTGCAAGAAGGGATCAAGGGTCACTTGGGTGAATTATATATGTTCTACCAAATGATTCATGCTGCACCTATTGATACGAGTGTCATCATTCAACAAATGCAACTATAGCCAACAAAAACGTTTATGAAGGATAAATAGTACAAGGTAGGCGTGTGAACCTGATGTAGTTTCTTTGGAAGGAATGGTTTTGTTAGGGGAATTGATGTTGTAGAAGTTCCCTCAGTTGGTTAACAAAGAAGGATAACACTGCCTATTGTTGTACCGGGGGGGGGGATGAAGATTCCTTTAGGTAGTTAGAGCATCAGATTAATCTGTTTTTTTTTTTGGTCAAAATTCTCAAAGTTAACCTTGTTGACCCTTTTCATTGGTTTTGTGGAATAATCTTACTATGGCGGATATTGTGATTTGTAAGAAGGGTGTATGGTAGTATGTTGCTTCAATTAGATGTAAATTTAGAAAAAAGAAGAAAAAAATGTAGAGAATTTTTTTTTTGGGAATTTTATTGTCCAATGAAAGAAAAAGTTGTGAATGAAGAAAGGCTAGTTGTGTTGATTTAAAGCGAGAAGGGGAGGAGTGTGAACCTAATCTTGTGTGTCGTTCTATGTAGAATTAATTAATTCTTTGTATTAGATTTTGAGCACAACAATCCCAAATGACTTCGTCTTGCCTATATTAACCGAGCCTATTTTATAGAGAAAGAAGAAAGAGAAGTTTATAGAGGAAAGTCTACATAAAGTTGACACTCGTAATTTGATGTCAGATTTCCTCCCTTATTATTTAGACTGCATTCACTGCAGGTTTGCAGCAGTTTGATATTAATTAGAAAACTTGATCTTTCACCAACTTTTTTAATTTGGCCGTATCATTTAACAAATTTCTCTCTTTTCTTTTCTTTTTTTTTTTTTTTTTTTAAAATAAAATAAAATCAAAAAGCTTGATCTTGAAAAGCTTATATATTTGTTGATGCTACTGGCTCTATTTGCAGTATGACTTTGAACTAGTCTTTGCCAAAAACAATCATCAATTTGTTGAAGAATATTTGAAGAAGCCAGAATTTGTTGATCTTATGAGGAGGCTGGGTGCTTTGGGTGATACCCATGATAAAAGTGAGTCCCATACTTTGGTGGTGATATTTCTTCCTGCCCTCTCTGTAGTTTTTGTAACTTTTAAGACTGCAACAAAGAAAAGGCAATGCACGTTGGATTTGTAATGACTTGTTTTCTGCATGCTTCTCAAGGCTCTCCGTATCTCCAATCTTATGCACAAATGTGGTTACTTAAGGGTCTAATTTTTGGGTTCACTTCTAAATTATTGATCCCTCCTGCTTTCTAATTTCAGGTACGTTGTCACCGGATGAGTGGGAAGTAGCTTACTTATATCTGGCCTTTGTGCTGAGAAAGGTAACAATACCGTGCTTATTCAGCAGACTATGAAATAGCTCTTAGATAAATTCACAATAAGAATCTTCATTTTGTTTAGAGTACATGTGTCCTAAACTCCTATCATCTTCATGAAAACCAGGATGTACTATACCTGCTTACATACTTCATCAAACAATAAACTTACGAGTTGTAAAAGTAGCCATAAGCCATAAAGAATACTTGCCCTCTCGATTTATTGGCAAAGTCTCTAGTAAGTTATATCAGAGACCTGGTTTTAAAGATTTTCTTGCAGCCTTTTCCCTACATGCTTGTTTAGCACCAAAATAACACAGGGCATTTGTCAATTTATCTTTGTTTGTCCTAGCCGAGGCATTAGGGGGTATACAATGAATGTTGCATTCTTATGGAATGCTATCATTTTTCTGATAAACCATGTGATTTACTTGATATTATTCTGAGATTCTTTTTCTGTTTCATTTTAGCGAGGCCAACCAGACCAAACGCAAAAGCGAAATGTGAAAAAGGGTGACAACGATACACCCATAAAAAAGGAGGACATCATGTACATTACTAGTTGAGTTTGAGTTTAACAGTAACAATTCGTGTCAAAATTCAACTGCGACCAATCATCAAGCTTGGTCAGGTCTTATCCAAGATGCCAAATACTGGCAGGCATGCAGACCTAAAACTTAAGGCGTGCTTTTGGTTCAATACTCTGTTAAATGGAGATTACGCATTGGCTCATTCAAGGTTTGCTTTGTAGTTTGAGCTCCTTTGTTGTAGAGGTCGCAGAACGGGACTGAAGAAATGCAGTTCTTCCTAATTTTGGGGCAGAATTTTTATTTTCGACGGTAATTAACAATTTTACACAACTTTGATCTTACGGGCTTACGGCTCTTTTTTCCAAAAGGTGGTAGGTTATTGATAATGTAACTCTTTATGTTTTCTGTCAACTTGTTAAAAAGAACTGCTTTTGTACCTTTATTATTTAAAGTTAATAAAAATACGGTTATAATAGATTTTTTTGGTGCTGCTACTAAGCTTAAAGAACTGCTTTTGTACTGCTATTAACTAAGTTAATGAAAAACAATGATAATAGAGCTTTTTTCGTTAGTTTTATGTTTGCTTTGAGCGTAAAACAGTTTGATCCTGTATTTTGCGTAGTAATTGTTTCTACATGTTTATGGGGTTTATTCTTTCTTAGCTCATAAATGCTCAATCAATCTAGTGTGGCATACAATGGGTAGCCTAAACCAAAGAGCGTCTGCATTTCAGGTTTTGTCAAGAAATTATACACATAATCGTAGACCCCTGAGCCTTAAAGATTGTTCCATTTGTCTTTTTCATTGATTTTAAAGACAATTATGAACAATGATCTCTTTAACTATGTGCAACTTAAAAGTTATAAAAAATTAATACAGTATTTGAAACTACACATTATTGAGACTGTTCGGTCGAGATTTGTTCAAACTCATTGTTCAAGCTCATATGGCATTTGATTTAGAGTTGATAAAAAATAGAGGCGGACCTTGCTTTAACATCATAACTCATGTCCAAACCTGCTCAAAAGTGGTGGGCTTTTGGGCCGAGTTTAGGTTTTAAACTAAAAAGTGTATTTAGGCTTGCCTAAACTCGTCCATTTTTCGGATAGACTAGTGGGTTGGGCCGTAGTTAATCACCTTTAATTTGAGTAGCAAGTAACAAATAGACCAGTCATAAAGTCAACAAGAAGAGGGAGGTAGCAAAGCAAAAAGTCAGAAGGCAACAAAATGTACAAGAGGAAGGAAGAATAAAATCGGAACAAAAGAGGCAAATTAAAGAGTAGTAAGATGGAAGTTATAATGTTATATACGGAAAATATCATTGAGTTAGAATTCCAATCAATCACAGATGATTCCCATTAATCAAACTACAAGAAAGGCAAAGAAAAGGCTATGTAAAAACATAGATTTGAAAAATCAGGTACACTTTTTGCTGCGTGAAAATGCAATTTTAGTATGGAAACAAAGATACTCATAGAATTTTCATGCAATTTTCATACGAATCATGCATGTCAACATAATTCTGAGTTCAATTTGCCACTAACTAACATGATGAGATACTTACGGTCGTTACAGATTACTTGACAGTCATAGCCCTTTATATTAGACACTCCATAAAAGACCATTTAGACAGAACTTGAACAAAAGCTAGATGCATTGCACATATGTACTTCGACTGTATCTGAAACCATAATATTGGCTATTCACTATCATCCATTGCTTCAGTAATCTTATCAATCCGAATTACCTTCATTAATTAGCAACACTCAAGAATTTGTTATTCGACGGTTTTGATCTGCTTCCTCATGGCTGTTTGCTTACAATTTACAGTATATTATTAAGTACTTATGAAGTTGTTGCATTAGATCGTGAGGAGGGTGTCCTAATATAATGTTTATCTTTTTCTTACCTTTTTTCTTATAAAAAAAAAAGTACTACTACCTCCGTTTCATATTATTTGCAACGATTTGACATAAAGTAGAGAGGAAAAATGTCTAATCGTTGCAAATAATATGAAACAGAGGTAGTATTAAAGTTATTATTTTTTTTTTCCCTCTCCCGTGACTAAAGATTTGTTCATACTTGGAAATTTTCAAATAATGACTAAGTTCCACTTATGTTAAGAAAATTTAAACATCTACTTTGATGCATGAATTATTTTATTTTATTTTATTTATTTATTTATTTTTGGCAAGGAGAACAAAGGGAATAGAGTTAAACGCCCTTTCTAGCCTTGATAGCAAGGTTGTGGGCCTTTGAAACTCTATTCCTAGAGACATACACTCACGAAAAGAACACAAAATGCTTAATTAGATCAAGGATATCACATGTTACACTTAGTAGCTCCTTCGGCGCTTGTGCTGGATTCTACAGTGCCCATACACTTCTCTTGCTATCTGTAAGAACTATCAGCTAGTCGCTCCATATTCTCCCTTCCTCGACACCCCTTTTTATGGCTAACATCTCACATTGCAATGCTGAGCTACCCCAAACCCTTTCCATACCCTGCCCTAGCTGCTCATGTTCCTTATTTAGTACCCACCCAATACCAGCATGGTCCATTCCACAGTCAGCTTTTTTCTAGGCTCCATCAATTGTTGTATACACTATGCCCCCTGGTCTCAGTTCCCTTGTTCTTTGCTTGATTAATGTGTTGATCTAGTCCTAGATCCTTCTCAAATCCTCCAAGCATCCCCTTTTGGCTTTCCAACACATCTCAGTGACTAGCTGCATCAATCTTCCTGGATTCGGCTCTTTTCTTTTAAAAATGACTTCATATCTATGCATCCAAACACTTCAGATGTGTGCTAAAAAGAACTGTGCTAGCTTTGGTTTTCTATCGAAGGCCTTGATAGCATAGACCATGAAGTTTCTTAACCATTTGTGCACTAGGATGCTATTGTCCCCTATGTTGATTCCCAACATGCCACACGCCCATACTCTTCTCATCAGCATACAATCCTTAAACATATGAGTAGGAGTTTCTTCCTCATCTTTGCATAAGGGGCATTTTATGTCCACCTCCATGCCTCTTTTTCTCAGTTCCGTCCTGCAGCTCGTGGCTTGCTGCATAATCTTCCACCCAAGCATTTTCCAGCTTGGTATGATTTTCAGTTTCCAATACCTTTTCCAAAAAGGGTCCTCCTCATGTTTTTGCTGTTGTTGAAGTAGTCACCTATACCCTGATTTTGTAGTGAATATGCCTGATGGAGTTGACCCCACATCACAGAGTCCTCCCTATTTGGGTCTGGTGTTGTTGACAAAATATGTTTTGCATCCTCAGTTGCAAAACGTTTCCACACCAGTCCTACATTCCACCCACCTTGCTCATTCATGAGACTATTAACCCTGTTAAACGCTTCTTTATCCTCCCTAGAAACACCAGCTTTCATTTTCATAGGTCCTTTTGCTATCCACTAGTGTTCTTAAGAGCTAATGCTTCTCCCATTTCCTACTCTGAACCAGAGTCCTTGCTTGAAAAGGCCAGCTGCCTTACACATTCCCCTAAATACCCATGAACAATTCTGGACTATCTTCCCTGTTAGACTTCTCTGTATTGGGGATGAGGAATATCTCCCCATCATCATTTTGCTGAGAAGGGAATCTGCATCCTAGTGACTCTCCAAGCTTGCTTGTATACCATTGCTTTATTACAAAAAAGGATATCCCTCAAACCCAAACCACCCTAAGCTTTTGGCTGAACTAGCACATAATGTTTTTTGAAGTAAATAGGCCTCTTCTCCATGGATGAGGCCTAGAAGAATTTAAGGCAAATGGAGGAGATTTTTCCTAGGATCTTCTGGGGAGCAAGGTAAATAGACTGGATATTTGCAGACAGAGCCACTAGGACTGAGTTTATGAGAATTAGCTTGCATGCTTGTGAGAGAGTGTTGTATTTCCAGGCTAGCAACTTCTTTGACACCTTAGAGACCATACTTTCAAATTGGCGTAAGGATCTCCCATCCACCTTCATCAGACACCCAAGGTAGGACCCAAATGACCCTCTACTACTCACTTTTAGAGGCTTTCTAAGAAGCCTCACAAATGTGGATGGAGTGTTGGGGCTGGACATGACTGAGGATTTCTGAGCATTCACCATCTCTCTAGACAATGCACAGAAGGAATCCACACAATTTTTGATTTCCTTGCATTCCTTTATACTTGGTGTGAAGAACAGTAAAGCATCATCTGCAAAGAAGAGATGTGAGATAGCTGGGCTTCTCCTACTAATCTTTAATCCACTAATCCAGCCCTGTGCTTGCAGCCAACTTAGCCTTCTTGAAAGTACTTCCATGCACAGAATAAAAAGGTAAGGGCTTAAAAGATCTCCCTACCTAAGACCAACTTTAGGACAGAACCATTTGGAAGGTTCACCATTTACCAGGATTGCATATAAGACTATAGTCACACATTGCATAATCCATTGAATCCATCTCTCAAGAAACTGCATTCTTCTCAGAATTGCTTCCAAAAAGTCTCATCTTATCCTGTCATAAGCCTAGTTCAGATCTACTTTCAAGACTCTTGCGTACCTATCTCCCCCTCTCTTCAACTTCCTGATGTAATGTATTAACTCATGACCTATCATAGCACTGTTTGCCATAAATCTTCCAGGCACAAAAGCATTATGGAATTTCCCCTACTAAGCCTTTCAGTATAAGCTTCAACCTGTTTACCAGGCATTTAGAGATCACCTTGTAGACAGTATTTCATAACCCAATAGGCCTGAATTGGTTGATAGTTCAAGCATTCTCCTCCTTTGGGTTAAACATAGAAAAGTCTTATTCCAATCCCTGAGAAGATATCCACTGTTGAAGAAGCTCTGAACAGCACCACAAATATCTCCTCCCATGATGTTCCAAGTTTTTTGGATGACAGTAGGAGGACAACCATTAGGCCTAGGTGCCTTCAAAGGGTGCATGCTGAAAGCAGCCTCTTTAATCTCTCGATTTGAGAAGGGCTTGTTCATTAAAGTGCTATGCTCTTCTTTATTTCAAGGTTGAAAGCAGGCTGAGCTAGTCCTCTAATGATGATTGTGATCTGATCCATTGATTTCTGGTGAATCAGTTTCTGAGGGGTTATAAATAGCTGAGAAATGAGACACAAAGGCAACCTTTATGTCCACCATCTTTGTAGTCCAGCTATCCTCTCCCAGCTTCATCATTCTGATCTCATTCTTTAATTTTCTTCCCTTCACACTTCTAAAAAAGAAGTTAGTATTCTTATCACCCAAGGCTTCTCTCTTTACTTTTGTTCTTTGCCTCCAATAAATATATTTAAGCTCCAACTCAGTGACCAGTTGAGTCCTCAAGCCTTTCTCAGCTTTTATTTCTTCATTAGACTTAAGACCTGATTGGAGTTTAGTGAAATTTTCCTGAAAATCATCCCATTGGATTTAATGTTCCTTTTTGTATGCAAGGCACCATTTCTTCAGATCTTTTCCAACTTTCCTGATCTTTTGCTGTACAATGAACA